CCCCCGCCCCTCATCTGGTCGGCCCTAAGCGCATCGGCCACCCTCTGTCAGCCGGACCTAAAACAGCGCATGAGTGTAAGATTGCAAAGCACCACGACGACATGCGCGGCCAGCTGAGCGAGCGCGCCTGTCGGTCCGCGGGTCGGCAACCCATCAGGCGCCGCTGGCGCCCGGCGGTCAAGTGAGCGAAACTGTCACAACGGGCTGCAAGCCGTACGTCTGGGGTGCGGCCAGCCTAAGGTCCAACTTTTCGGAGCACGGGAAGCATGGGAGTTCGCAGGCGAGAGGGGGTGGAGGAAAAGAGTGACCCTAGGCTGGTCTGCCAGTAAAGGTATCGGCGGGAGCTGGACGGAGGGCTGTAGAGTCGCACAGTGCATGGGCGGAGCTTGCTGGCTGGTCTCACCCACAAAGTATACTCTGTGGCCCGGCCCCGCTCCGGCACCACCATTAGAATCCTTGTCGTCTGCTGCTCTCTACTCGGCATGGCGCGGCATGCGGGCGCTATCGCCGCGCGTGGAGTGCCGCCCGCCCTCCGCCCCTCCGCCGAGGAGCACATGCTGCAGCCTGCAGCCAGCTACCGGGGCCCGCTGGCGGAGCAAAGCAAAGCTGCTTCCTAGTGCTGGATGCTGGCTAATGCGTCCCTCACCAACCCCAATCGAGGCAGATCTCAGAAATAAATGCTATTTAACACCAATTAAAAAATGTGGCTGGCAGGGCTGGCAGAAGGGGTAGTGACTGATGAGACTTATCCAAAGTTCAATACTTTACTTATCAAATAGATCATATACAAAAGAACTCCACATGTGGATTTCTTAGACAAGTGGAATATTTCAACAGATTAATTAAAACGAATTACAAGTAACACTTAACATGACTGGGCAAACCAAGTTGCAAACTCATTTTGAAATCCTACTCTAAAGTCAGAAGTTCAGGCCGGAGGTGACCACAGTTACCCATGGTTAGCAAGCCAACTCTTCCATTTGGTCGAATGCGTACCCATGAAATACTAGCATGATGCAAGTTTATGCGTAGCCAAGCCTCAGGAGGAAGTTGTAGTGCCCTAAGTTAAGGAAACAAAATAATAGGAGTCACAATTTTATAAGAAATTGACCATTATTATCAACTTGACAAAAACTGAAAGATTGGGAAAGAAAATACCTGCAAACAAAGTACCGAATAACATTAGCATGACATACTACAATGTCGTATGAGTCCTTCTCCTGATGCTGATCAGCTCGGTAAAAATAGTTGCGGAATGCTGCTTCAATACGAGATCCATCTTGGAAGAAACACTGCAAAAAAATATAACACATTGTACAAAACTTTATGGTAAAAAAATAACCATGTAGGAAAAAAAACGTGTAGAAAATATATTTACATATTCATGAGGTTCCCAAGATTTTCGAGGTGGTTCAGGTGGAAATGGTGCACCCTCTTCCAACATACTATCATTTTCAACTGGCAATGAACTCATATTCAAGCGACTTAAAATATGGTCACCAGTTTGTTGAGCCCTTGTCATAGTTGACCTGACCATTCGGCTGTATGGAAGGTTCAATGCCAACAGTCTGTCACCGGTGGCTTGTGCTTGCTCGATTCCTAAAGATGATAAAATCTTTTAAAAACATGATCCCAACCAATAGAATTTGCAATGGTATGAATCAGTACTACCTTTCTCTGTAAGAGTTCGCTCAGCATCATAGAACCTGTTAGCCTGATGGTACTGCCCATGACGAATAAGGATGATGTTGCGCGAGGCTTTGGGCTTTTTTTCTGCTATTTCTTTGCTATAACGGATATCATCTTCGCCACCTTTAGATGGACGTACCAAAAATGAAGGTTCTCTCCTATGCAAGTAGTAAACAACGAACAGAAAAATGCCATGTAGATGATTACGACACATTTTCTGACAAGCTTCAAAATTTGAAGTATCACTTACCTGTCCCAGTTGTAATCCCATTTAGTTGTCTGGAAAGGCTCATCATGAAGTTTTGATGAATGCACAGATTCAGTACGGAATTTTTGAGCCGCTTGTAGGACTCTACTGTTGTCATTCGAACAGTACAACACACCCGCACCGACAGCCCCTAAACTAACGGCTAAGATCCTCTTGATGGTAGCCATAGCTAACCGTGACGGCGTGACAGAACGACCCACGACGACCAAGACGACACGCAAGTGTGGACAGTAACTACAGTAAAATAACTAGGCGAACATGCTGCCGTTATCTGTCAGGCTTACCTTAGCCTCAAATAATGCTTCCTAAGCGTGTGGTGGTGGGGTTCTTGCTTGCTTGTTTTTCCAAATCAGCTGCGAAACAAATGACGGACGGCGACCGGCACCGGTTGCCCGGCTTATTTGCAGGGAGCAATTCGATTGGCTGACGCTGTTGACCGCGTTTACCGCCAAGAGCAACAAAATGAGCGCGATGTTTTAATTTTGTTTTCAGTTGAGGTGTTTGAGGAGGAGGGGGTCACATAATCTGACATAAATCCACAAACCACGAATGTAAAGGAGAAAAT